TGCATGCCAGGTGGTGACACTGCGATTCAAGATATGATTGGTGACCTTTTGCAGGCTGGAGTGGTACAATTCACCCACTCACCCACGCTGGTGCACCAAGTCCAGGCACACCCAGGCACCTGGTTGTGCTTATAGATGTGGCCAATGCATTCTTCACTATTCCTATTCCCCCATCAACACAGGAGCAATTTGCCTTTCCATGGGGAGGAAACCAGTACGCATTTACTCTTCTCCCCCAGGGCTACAAGCATAACCCCACACATTGTCATCAGGCCATCCATCGTACTTTAAGGCAATATAATCCACCCACAGCCATACAAGTGGTACAATATATTGATGATGTCCTAATACAAGGCCCAGATTGTGACACAGTAAATGATGTACTGACAGCTGTAATAGCCGTCCTAGCAAAAGATGGGTGGGCAATGTACCCCAAAAAGGTGCAAAGGCCTGTTCAGGAGGTAAAATATTTGGGAATCTACTGGGCTCAAGAGGTTCAACAAATTCTGGAAAAGACACTTGTTAGTATTCGTGATTGGCAAACACCAGTGGGCAAGAAGGGGGTGCAATATTTTTTGGGTGCCATAGGCTATTTGTACTCCTATGTACCGGGGCTAGCCACTGTTTTGAAACCACTTTAATGTATTACTCGAATAAAAGGCCCACTTTGACTGGAGATGTGAGCAGCAAAATGCCTTTGATAAAACCAAGGCACTGATGCAGGAGCATATGGAATTACATCCTGTTCAGCTGAGACTGGTAGAGGTACCTGTGTCTGTAGATCGAGACATAGAACAATGGAGTTTGTGGCAATTACAGGAGAACAGGCATAGGCCTCTAGGGTTTGGGGCTTGCCGCTTGACTGGGACAGAAACGTGTCATACCATGCTTGAGAAGGCCCTGTTGGCTGCCTGTTGGGCACTAGTAGACACAGAAGCCTGGACATTAGGACATGAAGTCTTGTTACACACAGAGATACCTACAGTAACATGGGGCTTAGCCCCAGCGGCTACTCACAGAATTGCTCATGCCCAAGAGGCAACCATAGTAAAAATTAAGTGGTATATTAAGGAAAGGGCAAAAGCAGGGCCAAAAGGAATGCATCAATTACACAAACTGGTTGGTCAGGGAAAAAGAGAGTCAGGGGGTGGACTGAATGAAACCTTCAACTATCGGGTGGGGCGATGGGGAAAACCGCATGAACATTGGACTTCTGAACAAAAGAAGACTGCATGGTTTACGGACGGCAGTGCCAGTGTCTGAGGAGGTAAACCTCATTGGAAAGCTGCTGCCTCAAACCCAGCTACACAAACTAAACTGATAATGGAAGGCACGGAGGGCAGCAGTCCGTTTGCAGAACTGGTTGCAGCCTGGCAAGTTATAGAGGCGATGCCCCCCCAGTGCCGTTTGCCATTTGTATACTGACTTGTGGGTGATGGCTCAGGGTTTGGTAAATTTGCTTAATAAATGGCGTGCTGGTGACTGGCAGATTGGGACTAAAGCCATATGGGGAAAGGGACACTGGCAAAAAAAATATGGGACTTGTTACAAGACTGGGAGGTTTGGGTATACCATGTGGATGGCCACATGGCAGATGGTGGTGGAATGCGCAGGTGGACAAACTAGCGTAAGTAGGAAAAGTCTGGCCCATTGTGAGGGCCAAACAAAGGGGAGTACATGTTTGCAGAGATTTAATCACCACTGTTATTCACAACTGTCCAGTATGCCTTGCCCTCAAGAGTAGAGTATGGACACAGCCCGTTGGGCACATCAAACAGGGTTCAGGACTCGTAGAGGTATAGTAAATGGATTATATTGGACCCTTGCAAGAGCACCGCAGACAGAAATACGTTTGTGTGGCTGTAGACACATATTCCAGTGTTACAGTCACCCCCCCAGCAGATACGCTAACAGCCACACTACTGTCCAGGGACTTGACGTCGCTGAACCATATTATGGTACACCAGTGGAGATACAATTGGAAAATGGGTCACTTTTCAAAAATCAGGTAGTGGCACAGTGGGCTGAGAAGCGCGGAATCAGTTGTGTCTGGCATCTCCCACATTATCCACAGGGTGATATAACTTAGTTGAACGGTTGAGTGGCATGTTGAAGCAACAACTGAAACGGCTGGGAGCCAGACATATAAAAGATGAGTTGACCACCTCATAACTGCCACCCACATTCTGAACAGCCAGTGACCAAACCCCTCTATTACTTATGAAAGGTCCCCATAACTGTCCTGTGAGATATACAATAATATCAGTAACTTATACACAGGGTCAGTATAAGGTTAAGGTCGAACAAGGTTATTTAACTATTATACAGACAACTGCTCAGGCTATGCCAGCATCAGCTGTGCTATAGCTGACTACAGGTGGGCAAGTTCACACTGCAGCACAGACTGATGTTTTCATGTATGCCATTTTGGTGTCGCCCTTAACAGCCAAGGGACTCGTATTAACCAACCCAGCTCAACCTTGTGTAGGGTGTCCCTTACACCTGGGTGTGTGTAATTCCATGACCATGAAACGGAATATATCTGGTGGACCAATAACATTGATATTCTTTGGATGAAAGAATATTCCTCCAATTGAGTTTCAGGGACCACAGTCACCCACAGCCCAGTTTCCAGGAGGCAAGGTGTGGTACCAGCCATAGGCCCCATGGCTGCCAATGATAATCAAGCAGTGACTATTGCCGTGCCCAGTGACAACAAATGGACCAGGGCACCTGCTCAACACCTCCAACGATGGGAATAAAGGTGGGAAGGGGTGTGGGTAACCTAACTCTTTCTCTCTCATTGCTCTAGGTATGTGAAGCATCACACACCACCTGACCACAACATCTGGGTGACCCTGGCTTATGTATCAGGACAGGACACATTAAGTCTAAGTACAGCAACCCCGCAGAACCCATTTACTACATGCCTGCTGGGTGTTCCTGCAACAAATGATGAATTAATGGCCCTCTGTAACAGGAGCCTGAACAGCTGGGTCTGCCAAGATACAGGGATCTGGCCCCACTTGTCCAGATTTGGCGAATCACCAAGCCCACCTCCGCAGGAACTACGGATCCTCGGTTCTCTAGGTGCTGACAGCTGTACAGTGTTCAGCTTTACTAGTCGATGGAATGGTATTGTATCCTGGTGGGTTAACGCCACTCATCCTTGGTATCATAACTCCTCACACTGGTGTAAAAAAACTACAGAACATGCCACCATAAGTTTTTCAACCCATATGTCTTTACCCCAGGGACTATTTCTTTTATGTGGGGACAGAGCATGGGCTGGCATTCCGAAAGGTATTAAGGGTGGGCCGTGCACATTAGGGCACCTCACTTTGGGTCTGCCAATGCCACCATTGCCTGGTGGATGCAACAAAATCACACACGACCGTATATCCGACACAAACGGGACACCCGCGCCGTTGAGCCCGAATGTAAAGACGCTGTGGAATTCTGGGAGGAGGCAAAGGTAATTGCTGCCTCCGCACCGGCACCATGGGGGGCTAGCTCCCAGGCCCTGACAACCCTGACCTGGTTAGGGTGTTGGTTAGTAAAATCTGCTAACGCTTCTAGCGCTGCCATAGGCGCCCCTGTTATTAGATGCAGATAGCATACGCCACGCAGCGTTCCAAAATGGCGCTGCCGTTATTTTCTGTCCTTAGCACACGGGCATGGATGTCAGGACTTCGATGGACTATGCTGTATGAACCTGAGTGACCATTCCAGCTCCATCCATGCCCAGATAAAACATCTACGAGGGCTGATGAACCGTCTTGTTGAAAATACTGGACAGAACCCATTTTGAAGGGTGGGCTTGGGGTTGGCAGTGGTTGAAGAAGGGAGTGTTCATGCTCTGCAGCACTCCTCTCCTGTTGGGGTCGGTATGGATGCAGTCGCTAGACTTGGGTATGCACATTTGTATTGCTGAATTTTCATCGTGTGCTTAGTAGTCCACAGGACTTAATAAAGTAGTGCAACACCTTGTTGTGGTGTTTTCCTCCTCCTTGCACCTTGGGAATCCTTACGAACCTGAGGCAGCTTGGCTGATGGATGATGATCCACTAAACTATAGTAATAAAATACACTGGAACAATCACTCAAACCTTAAGTAAGAATGATTTAACTGTTTAACTTTTCCAGTTAAAAAAAAATCAGACTCATCTGAACTGAGATAAGTGATTCCTAAAACAAGGTTATCCACACAAATAAAATTGATCTCAGGTATAACTTTTAATTATTTTGGTTTTGTGGTGAAAGAATGTTTAGTGGCTCCTACCATGGGAACTAATAGAACAATATTAGAGGTAAAAATAGGAAATTATGAACAAAATTATGAATTATGAAAATTATGAACTATGAAATTACAAAAAACAAACAATCACAGAGCTTTCTATCTTCCTTAAATTGCTAAATAAAGCTGAATAGCTATGAGTGTTGCAACTAGGATTTCTAAGTGGTAATTGCTCTGTGGGTTCAATCAACCTCCACGTATTAAAGAGCAGAACGGTTTGAAGGAGATTGGGTTTTACATCCACATTTGTTTTGCTGGGATGATTCTATAACAACTTTTAGTGTGTGTTTGGAGCAAAATCTTCATGAGTATATTTAAAAATTAAAGTATAAAATTATCTATCAAAGAGGTCTTTTAAGGAAAGAAGAATCAGCTCCTCTGGATGAGTTTATTAACCATGCACTGTTTACCCTGGTCAAGCTTTCCAAAATATATTGGCAAAAGAAATTTTTGCTAGTATAACATACATCAGTTCCCTGAAGAAAATAGACTCTACCACAAAGAATACTCTTTTCTCTACTATAACAGTGTCTAGATAAGGGCCTACCAGAAAAACATTAGAAAAGACACAACTATAAAACATTACATATTAGTTCTTCTCTGTTGCTTAATCTCTTTTGATAGGTAGTCTGTATGTTTGATCATTAGATTTTCTGTTTATGTACCTCTGCTTCTTATCTTATATATCCTATATACTTTGTACCTTTCCAAAGGTGGCTGAATTTACTTGACACTTGGGATCTGGACCGCAGCTTTCCATATACAACTCATAGAGCAGCCAACGGGGTACAGTGGATCCTTCACACAAATAGAAATTATCAGCTATCCTTTAAAATAAAAACATCAATTAGTTTATGTCAGAATTAGAAGAAAGAATTGTTAGCTTGTGACTGTAATAGCTCAGCAGGTTCACAGTGTACTGTGTAATAGTTACTCTGATTTTATAGAAGAGTAGAAGGAAAAAAAAAAACAAACTAAAACTAAATCAAACCACCAGCTGCTACTTTTATGTTAATCTGTCTTCTGGGAAAAAAAAAGGTGTATCTTATATGTGTATGTGTGTGTGTGTGTATATATATATATATATATGTAAAAAAGATACATTTTAAGTTCTACTCTCCTGGTTTCCAGAGTGTAGGAGAGATCATGTGAGACTCTGCTAAAAAATTAACTAGATTACTTAATTATTAATTGAAAAAATACAACTTAGCAATATAATTATAACATTATCACCAGTACACAAAATATTCGTATCTCTCTAATAAGATATAACTTTTAATTTCTAATTATAGAGATATTCACTATACCAAAGATAATAATATAAGCTTTTTTCCACCTAAAATATCCAATACGATGTTTCGGGACAGAGAGTGCATGAGCTAGGAAGGACTAAATTCTGTTCTCATAGAAGCTCACTGATTTTAGCTCAAATTTAATAAGAGAAGAGAATTTTAATTTACAGTTACTATGTGACAGAACTCCCAGGACTGAAACTGGTTTACGTGTTTAAATATTCATTCTTTGGCCAAATCTCTTACTCATTCTATTTATCAGAATGGCCACAGTCAAGAAAATGCAACTGCTTGTGTGAATAAGGTGAGGAAGATGTAAACTTAGTTACTTATTAGTTTAAGTATTACCCCTACCAGGAAAAAAAGACTTTTAATTATGAGATAATGCCCATGGTTTCAATGTCAGAAGATAACAGCTTCCTGCAGAACAACTACAGGAGCAAAGCAGAAGCAAGGAAGCAGAGAGATTAATTTGCAGAGCATGACACACTGATCATATGACAGTGTTTTCTTACTCTGACTCTGCTTCCGTTATACCAAATGATTTATGCATATTTAATTATTTTATCAGCTGAATGCTAGTGCAGCACAGTGCCAGCTACTCATTGTGTCTTTACTGATAATCGAGTTGGCTGGGAAAGCAGAGTTTTCGTATCACTAGGAGAGATAAGTTGGATTTTAAATCAGCATCCTCACCTTTATTAGTAGCCTGATTTGAGGTGACCCAGCATTTATCTTTCTGTATTAGCTGGATTGGCAGTAGATTGTGGACAAAGTCTTCTGTAAATTAGCTGCTAGAACAGACTGAGCAAGAACACGATTGCTGTGCAGCCTGACGACATCTACCTCACGTTTGATTCATGCCCTTTCCCCAGGGAAGAAGGCTGACTGCCTCCCCCAGGTTTCCCCCTCAAAAGACCCTACAATGCCTCACTTTTATCTCCTTGAAAGCCATCTTCTCACCCACCAGCCCAAGAGTCTGGTGCTGCACAGCCCCAGGGCCGAGATGTGCTGGGCTCCCTGCCAACTCTTCCCCACCTCCAGCACTGGCACCCAACAGCAAAGGCTTTATGGCTAGACATGAGCAGGATCCTGCACCAAAGTTAGGGGATCTGCTGCAGCAAGGGGATGTTTCTGATCATGGGGCTGGAAGATAAATGATTTTTTTTTTCCTAGATCAGGGTCCTTACTGAATGGACAGGCAGAAATGCTTGTAGGTTAATGGATGGACTTGATGATCTCAGAGGTCTCTTCCAACCAAAACTATTCTGTGATTCTAGAGCAACCATCTCAAAACCCTTTGTAACTGAGCAGTCCCAGAGGAGATTAAACCTAAGTCCAAACTCATCCTTAATATAACACCACAAGAGTCATTGGAAGTGCAGCAGAAATTAATTCATGCTTCAGTAGCTGGTTTCTGCCAATGATTTTGCCACAGCACTTAACTATTTAGTAACAAAGTATTTGGGAATTTCATTTAGTTAATTTATTGTTTATTAAACGGACAGCCTTTTTCAAACACGTTCTTAGTGCTGACACATAATGCAAAAATACTATCTATCAGGGGGAAAAAATCCACATAGAAAAGGGCATAGTGCTCATCTTCTTGCCTATTAACCCCAAGGCTCTCAAACCCTGAGTGTTTATGGCATGCATCAAAACAAAACTGTTACTAAAGACAACATCACTGAAAGGAAACAGTGGGAAGGGAGGAAGGTGGAGGTTAAAGAAAAAACACACAGGGATAGACCTCCTCCATTTATCTACTACTTTCTATCCACCCTATCTGTGTGATGTTATCTGACCAGTTCTAGGACCTCACATGGCCTCCAGGTTTTTGGGGTTTGCCACCCCAAAATATGTGATCCCTTGGCAGTCAGGCCATTATATAGGTTTGCAGCTCTGCTGTTAAAGTATTTCTAGACCAAAATCTGGTTTGCTATTGTGAATGCACCAACAGTAAAATGAAACTGAATATTTAAAAGTTTTCAAAACATGAGAAGGTTATTCAGAAGTTTGTTTCGATGAAAAAAATCATCAGTTTATCCTATTAAGGTTTGTTTATGATTCAGTTTTAGCAGTGTCTCAAACTTGTTGGATGATGAATCTCTTCCTTCAGTCCTTTTAAAATGGGAGTAGTGATATCTATATCACAGCAAAAGCACAGTCCTGCTCCCCAGGTATGCCTGGGACGGGGAATAAAAAGATCTAGGATCACTTGCTATCAAGTTAGAAGTTTGCTTGTCTATGTTGTTACTGTTTCACACATAACTTCAACAGTGTTTACTGGCTGGACTCGTCCATGAGCGAGGAAAAACGTAAAGTAGACCTGGTTCCTCTTTGGCTGTCACAGCACAGATGACACTCTTGCCAAAGCACAAGAAAATTGTGGTGACACCCTTACTCCACCACAGAAGGTGTCTCACTGAGGAGTTCCACCACTGCCGTCACCCCAAGGGAACCTGACCTGGGAGAACGTCAATCCCTCAACATCACGCTGAAGGCCAGGGCCAGCGGCTGTGCCGCCTGGCAGCCACCCGAGGTGCGCTGCAGAAGCACACCCAGCAGGCACCAGCCGTCGGGCCAGGGGCGTCCTCGCCAGCTGCGCCGCTAAGGGGCCGGATCCCAGCGAGTGGGTGGGTAGGCTGAGGAGACAAAACCCCCGTTCCTCCACATCAGTAAACCCTGGGATGGGGGGTGGACTTCCAGGGAAATGTCCCTGCTTTCATGCCATCGGTTAGGCACCACCATGACGATGGGGCCTTTACAGCAAACCAAATATTTGCCCTACGAGGCTGCAATAGGTGTGAAAAGTCGGCTTTCTACCTCCCTGTAGCAAGCCCACTTGGGAGGTTCTCCGAGCCCCGCGG